GTATGCGTCCCCCTGTGTCCTCCCAGAAAAAAACACTCAATTTATTTATTTGATTCTATTTATGAATTGCACCCCATAAAAATATCACGAAGCAATTTTCATATGCCTACGTTAAACCTTAAATGCTTAAAGGTTGCAGTTGCCCCAATGTGGCCTTTTGGACACAGTTGGACCTGTTCTGAGTGGAAAATGCAAAGGATTGTGCTGTTAAAAGCTGCAACCTCCACAATAAAGATTATACAAAAGAAACATTGTACAGAATAGACCACAGCAGAGAGAAATTTGCCCTTCAGACACAAGGCATTTGGCCTCACCAAAATAAATGTAACTTAAAATCAGGTACTGTACTTTAAGATTAGAATAAGCTCCAAGTAGTTTTATGCAGTAACCAAGTGGTCTGCATCTGGGGTTGGGGTTGGGATTTCTCCAAGATGTCATTTCTGACTATTAAAGAGCTAACATCATCTTCATCAGAAGGAATTTCCAGGAAAGAGGCTACTTTTGGGAGTGCTTCACAGGTGTGCCTCCTGCTTTTTGGGGAGGCTCATTGGAAGACCTTAAGGGGGGGAAACATAATGGATACTTTAAGAAAATTACACCAACAACTGCAGAGCAGCCAAGCTGGGAAGGAGTAGGGTATGTGTGGCCCAAGGAGTTGGTGGCTGAATACTCTTGTGCCCCTGCCCCCATGTACAGTGGTACCTCGGGTTAAGAACTTAATCCGTTCTGGTGTCTGTTCTTAACCTGAAACTGTCTTAACCTGAGGTACGACTTTAACTAATTGGGCCTCCTGCTGCCACCACGCAATTTCTGTTCTCATCCTGAAGCAAAGTTCTTAACCTGAGGTATTATTTCTGGGTTAGCAGAGTCTGCAACCTGAAGTGTCTGTAACCTAAAGCGTCTGTAATCCGAGGTACAACTGTATTTGGACAAGAGACTACAGAGAGCATTACAGTCCAAAGTATGTAGCCGTAAATCAGATGAGCAGGGGTTTGGGGGTCCAGAAGTTCATTACTGGAAAATCAGTGCTCTGAAGATGTGGTAAACCCGACTGAAAGACAATTCAATGGGGTTGAAAGAACGATGTGATTGGCCATTTTGCACATATCTTGAACAGTGTAGGATTACTATGTTTGATCAGAAATTTGAGTCTGGGTCTGTAGATGCCACTCTGTTCTCACTTCTCCCGCACCAAGGCCCCACCATCCTCAATTCACTAGGATTTTGTGACATTTGCATTCCTGCCCAAGAGGAAAGTTTAATTGAAACAAATCCTGATATGGGCTCTTCTCAAAGTACTCTGAGTACATTTTCAGTGTTGTGGCCCCACTTAATTCTTATACCAACACTAGCATTAAAATAATAATAGAGAATTGATGTTGATGCAATTTTAACTTAAGAATTGTGGACTTTTAGAATATAGCAAAAAGATGCTGCTTTTAATTTATTACCCATCTTAAGGTCCCGGGGCAGGTTACAACAGTTTAAAACACAACATTAAAATGATGGCACAATAATACACAGAACAAGGACAAGAGTTAAATGATGGGGTCTTTTTATTATATATCTTGGGAGCTGGCTTCAAAAGCATACAGGGAAAAGGTTCTAGTGGTCACCTGTCCAGAAGATGGACTTCATTGGGATGAATGGACTGCAGCTGACATGTTTACAGTATTCTGCAAGAAAGGAGGATCATGGCAAAGCCTAAAATGGAATCACTGAAAAGTACACTTTAATTTTTAAAACATAGTTCATGTTTAAGTGAAGAGGAATAAAAAGCACATTTTACTTTGAAAAGTGTAGCTCAGGTTTAGGTGAAGGAGAGGATTAAAATATTTATCATTAAAGCACTTTGATGTTTAAAAGGATGGATGGAAGGCAACCTAAATGGGACGATTGCATGGTAGGATGGGATGCACAAAGTAGCTGGGATTGTGGGTGGGTGGTCTGAGTCTGGTGGATATGAATTTAAAGGGAAGTAATAACGAGCAATGTTATTTCAGCATCTGTTCAGGTACTCAGGCCACATGGGCACTACACATTTGAGAGTGGCACTACACATTTGACAGCCATTCCCTCTTCTTTGTGGGGTTGGTGGTGGATGGGTGGGATCCAAAGGTGTCCCAGAACTTACATGAATTTTGGACAATTTTTTTATCTAAGGGGGTTCATTTCAAAAGCTAGATAATGGGCGCATTCAGATGTGAGGAATATTGGGTTGGTTTTTCCTGATTATAACACTAGCCCTTCTGTTCTGTTTTCTAATGTTCATTTCACACTCCATTAGTTTCTCCTCACAAATTAACTATATCCCGAAGACATATGCATATTTAGATATTAAACTGGAGGATGACATCAGCCATTGTTAGTTACTTGGCAGGCAGCCCACACCTTGTTAAGCTTTGGCCCTATATTGGTTTGTGGCTTACTTGGTCATCATCTTTTAGATTATCAAACATCATCAAGGAATGTAGGTCTGAAGAATATGTTTCCATATGTATAGCATTTTCCATGAATCCAGCAATTAAACACCCCCCCCCCCCAAGAGAGAGGGGGAAATGATACAACACAATACAAAACCACTATAGAAAACTATAACATCTCAAAACAGCAAAAACATAGCAACATATTTGGAAGGCATCCTGACTCACAGTATGAAACTTTTTGTCTTCCACCTGCACAAATCATACAACATCCTATCTGCTATTCAACTGATTCTACTCCTGCATCCACAAACACATCACCCACCCACCCAGTCACTGCAATATCTCATACTCCACACTCCACCACACTCAAACTGCTATCACTAACCACTTCTTCCACCCTACTATTTTATTTTATTTATTTTTTTGCAAAAGCACCAGGAGACAATGAAACCATTCACTGGACAGAACCATATAAAATATCAAAACAAATTCCTGCCTGTCAATCACATAGATGTACTGCTACCCTGGCCAGTAATCTTGCTCTCACTCAGGTTGCTAATTTCCACCCAGGACTCTCACTCAAGGATGGGGAGAACTGCACTCATTCCTCTCACCAGTGAGTACCCTTAGACATTTCAACCCGCAGGATAGACACTCACAGAATATATGTTTGTGCCTACACTGAATGTTACAATGTACCTACCAAGGATTGTGGCTCCTACTGTTATCCAAATTTTCAACAGCTCATATTGCTTCTGCTGAATACAAGATCCCAAGAGAACTCTGTCTCTGGTTGTTTCACTCTTTTTCAGACCTGCATGATTCATGGGGAAAGTTCCATAAAAAGCACACTGAAGGACTTTTTAATGAGAGCTTTTTTTCCATCCTACATACACCGACATCTTTTTATTATTGCATGAGCCTAAGCATCCAAATTTAGCTCTTTGGAATTAAAGATAATCTTAGAGCAATATGTTCCACTGTGGCTCCATCTCAAATCGCCTGACAATGTGAATTTTATACTGGCACCTTGACATGAAATATTGCTTGATGTTAGGGTGCTGGGTCTGATTCAGCACTCTAATCAAAGCTGAAACGAATAGAGCTTTTTTCCAGTTCACAAATACAATTTTAGCAAATAGTTGGAGATTGTATCCCATTGTGACTTTGCACCCTATTTTCACCCATTCCAACTGCAGCCCTCTATGTCGTATCACATCTTGTTCCAGAGGGGCCCCCTTAAAAGAAGATTTTGGGTGGGGAGGTGCAGGGGCTGCATTGGGTAGGAGAGATCAGAGCAAATCAGATACTCTGCCCTGCATTTGCAAGTGAAAGTGCTTCTGTTAGTGCAAAGACACCATGGGCTACAACTTTGGGTTTGTAATAATTTCATCTGAAGAAGTAGTTTTGTTGGAGAGTTGCAGTCAAACTTAACAGTGCTAAATTTTTAGAGGAGACTCAGTGATATCCCATCCCCTCTTCCCATTCCCTCTTCTCCTGATATTTTTTATGCATATTGTATTATTTATATGATGTTAGTCTCTCTGAGCCCGGCTCCGGCCAGGGAGGGCCGGGTACAAATAAATTATTATTATTATTATTATTATTATTATTATTATTATTATCATCATCATTAGATAAGGAGGAAGTAAGGCTTGCTTCCTGTTCTCTCACTTGCTGCATGTGATGGCGGCAGACATGCCGCAACATATCTCCTTGCCTCAGACATAAGTCTGAAGCTGCTTTTGCTGAATTTCTACCCTGCATTTTTTATTGTTACTACATAGGATAATGCATGACTGTGACCTCAGATTGAGTAAGTAAAGCATTTTTGAACGTACTTCAGAATATGGTCTGTTTCCTTACATTAGAGGAGTAGTGGGGAGCCAGCTGCCTTAAACAGCTGGAATGTATTAAAAGAAGGTTTCATAACCTATTCCTTTGTTTTTTTTATCTGCCTAACAATGGGGTTTAAACTCTGCTCTTTACGTGCTAGTCCTGTGGTTTTAAAAGAGGCAGCCGTTTTGTTCTTTTGTTAGTTAACCCCCCCCCCCCCAGGTCTGTAGAGGATTAAATATGACTGATATATCATCACACCAATACACATCGTATTTTAACTCTAATGCTTTGTCACTTTGCTCTGTTTTTCCTTTAATTTACTGGGTTTTTAAAAAGCCACTTAGTCATTTTGAATGCATTGACCAAGGCAGGTCACAATGTATTAAAAGACCAAATTTCATTCTAACATAATACAGTCCATAAAACCACAGTCTAAAAATATTACAAACAACATTATAACAGCAGAATAAACATCAGCAGAATAAAAGGGCATGAATATAAAAAGGCAGCAAAAAATTAAAAGCAACAGCTGTTGAATACAGATTTTATCCAATTTTATCGGAGAGCACGCGAGGCCTAGGGAGATGTTAGTAACGAGCCCCAGCTGGCCCTTGGGCGGGGGCTGCAGGTCCGGCGGAGCCACCCCTGTTTCCCCGGGAGAGGTGACCCCTGCCCCCCCGAAAGGGCTGCTGCCTCCCTTTGAAGCAGTTGACTGCAGGGTGGCTGCCTAAGCACCTATCGCATTCGTGCAGGTACTTACAGGTAACGCGCTGACAGATACCCTTGTTGAAGTCCCAGCACTGCCTACGGCGTTGGGTCTCCACCTTACCAGCTTTTGGCTGATGAGCGGTTTTCTTCTCGATATTGGGCCCCACATGTTCGAACCAGCAATTGTTGTCCTTTTGGTCCCAGCGCGTTGAAGACAGCAGCGAGGCATTCCTCCGAAAGTCTTCATCATACGCCAAAGCAGCTTCATCTCCTGCCTGCTCCCGTGCCCTCCTGACGTGTGCCAGGTAGGACACGAGGTGCGCGCCCCTCTTAGGATAGCAACTTGACACCACAGCCATAAACACCTGATAGCCATTAAGCCAATTCTCAAACGTTCGCTCTACCCGGGTACCCTGTACCTCCTTTTCCCATAGTACTTAATTTTTTCCCCTTTTCCCTTGACCTGAGCTGGGGGCAGCAAGGAAAACATATCTACGTAATTGCCATTCAATATCTTGTTCCTCTTCCTCTTAGAGAGGTGGTTCCCCAGAATAAAGTCAGTGGCAGCGTTGGTTGAGACTTTAACGTCTGGGACCAGAGCCCCATCCTTCCAATCAAGCGTGCCATTAAATGCCTTCCTGTGTGAGTTGGCCCTCCGTTCATGCACCCACTGGGGGGCTCCAACGTCCTCCCCTCCCCCAATATGTCTCCATTGGAGTGTCACTATCCCCATCTGATGAAGAGGTACCTGTTTCCTCCTCAGAGTCCGAAGTGTCCCTCTTCTTGCTTTTCTTCGACCGGTGCTTCTTCTTCGCCTTCCGCTTTCCGCCCCGTGGTGCGTCGTCACGGGGGGCCGGGTCGCTGGCAGCGGCCACCTGCTGAGGGGGCAGCTCCTCCTCAGAAGATGACTCCTCCGAGGTGCTTGGTTGTCTAGGGTTATCCTGGAAAACACTGGGAACATCAATCACCTCCTGGCGCGGGGCTGATGTAGAGGCCACCGCCGGCCTGGCCTTTCAATGGACCTGACTTAGGTTTTTGAGTTTTAGCAGCTTGTAAGCGCGTCCGTGGCCTGCTGGGGGCCTGCTCAACCACGTTAGCTGCACTAGTGGAGGGACCATCCTGACCCTGCTGGCTGGGGGGGGTGTCTGGTATGCAATCTTGTGACACCTCAACGATGTTCGGTGAGGGAGTGATAGGTGCTCTGCACTGCGCGTAGAATGATTGCAGCGCGGAAAAGAGCTGGGCCACGACCTGCGGGTTACATGGGCCTGTTGGCATTAGGGCATTGCCACGCTGAGATTGTTGGGGGTTGCTGTTGCTCTCCATGACCAAGCTGAAAGCAGAGCCTCAGGGGGGTGGGCGCAAGACAAGTGTCTAATATATATATATATATATATATATATTAATTATTATTATTATTTTTTATTTATTTATTTTATTTATTTATTTATTTATTTTAAACTTTATTTATTTATTTATTTATTTATTTATGTATTATTTGTTTATTTATTTGCTTATATTCGTTTGTTTATTTATATATTTATTTATATCTATATGTATATGTGATTGCTTATTATGCTAAGTTGTAGCCCAGTAAACCAAAGGATAACACAGTAAATTATAAACTGCAGTGAAATAAACCAGAAAAACCTGCTCGCCACACCTAAAATGGCCGCCGGGGCCCTCTCGCCACAACTAAAATGGCCGCCGGAGCCTCTCGCCACACCTAAAATGGCCGCCGGGACTTTTCGCCACACCTAAGATGGCCGCCGGAGCCTCTCGCTACACCTAAAATGGCCGCTGGAGCCCTCTCGCCACACCTAAAATGGCCGCCGCGGCTTCTCGCCACACCTAAAATGGCCGCCGGGGCCTCTCGCCACACCTAAAATGGCCGCCCGGACTTCTCGCCACACCTAAAATGGCCGCCGCTCAGCAAGCCACGTGGCTTTAAAATGGCGCCGGTCGCCTAGCAACGTGGCAACACAGGCTCCCACGTGTACTGCCTGTATTAAAAAGCCAGGTGAGGGTAAACACAGAGGAAAAAATGCCCAGCAAAACCCTCGCAGCAGCAGATAGTACAAAAGTAACCCGTTTAAATTAAATTGCAAAATACCCAACGAAGCCCCCGCGGCAGCAGGAAACACACAAGTAACCCGTTTATAATAAATTGCAAAACACTCAGCAAAGCCCCCGCAGCAGCAGACAATCTATTTTTTTTTTTTTTTATACAAAATATATTCCGCCTTTTTCTAATAATCTAATATTGAACTTTTTAACACCATGTCTCCCATCCAATTTGAAACCACCTCAGACCCTGCTTAGCTTTGCAAATGTGCCAGCAGTTTTATTGCTGCACCACCAGGAGGACTACAGGAGAACCAGCTAAATTAACAAGCCATAAAGTAAGATACGACCTGCTGGAAGATACGAAGACTCCGCTTCAAGGAAACACAGTAAAGCCACGTGGGGAGGGTTGTAGCACTGAAAGGGAGGCTGCAGGGAGGCTGCAGGGCTCGATCAGCTGGCAGTCGGGGCGTCGCTGCTAGCTCCCCTGCTGCATGGGGTTTTTCCAGCGATGAAGGAGCCGGTGGTGAGTCACGCTGCTGAAGCAACCTAAGAGAATAAGCCCCCCGAGGAACCTGAGCGATTTCTGCCCAATAGCCTTGCTAAGCGCAGGAGGAAACTTCTCCTGTGGTGATTTCAGCTCGAGTAAAAAAAAAAAAAAAAAGGCAAGCGGCCAAAGAACGTTACGAAGGCTAAGCTTGCTGGTGCTCCAATAGGGCTTGGAAGAAGGCTCCAGGTTCCACAAGGCTCCGAGGATTCCAGCGAGCGGAAGGATCACCTAAACCAAACCGCGTCGTCTCCAGGGTGAAAAGGGGCAAGCCAGGGCTTCCCCGACCTTAAGTGGCCTTTCTAAGGCCCGCCCCTGCCGCCAGCCAATTGGCTGGCGCCACAGGGGATGCTAATTGGGGGAATCTCTGCCTCCCGCGAGGCTGGCCCCAGCCTCGGGAGAGCGAGAGTGGGCGGGGTCGTGATCCCACAACCCCCCCTCCTCCTGACGATCGGAAGGGGCATTCTAACATAATACAGTCCATAAAACCACAGTCTAAAAATATTACAAACAACATTATAACAGCAGAATAAACATCAGCAGAATAAAAGGGCATGAATATAAAAAGGCAGCAAAAAATTAAAAGCAACAGCTGTTGAATACAGAGCATTAAAATGTCAATTAAAAGCAGTCTGAAACAACAACAAAAAGACTTCAAAGACCATCCTAATGTCATCAAGTCAGCACAGGGCTAGAGCTCTATGTACCTGCTTGCTTTTCCTATTTCATCTCATTATGCTACTCTACTTTCTTTCTTTCCCTCTGGCATGAGTTTAAAATTGAAAACAACAACTGTCAGACTCTTTCTTAAAAGTGTTATTTGTCCAATGAACACGGCATGAAAATATGAACAGAACCAAATTTCTCCTCCATCCCCGGAAGGGAGAGAACAAGAAGCTAAAAGCACCTTGCAGGTTTAAGTATCTTTCTTTGGGAATCTGATGCAGGATAGCGGTTCTGCTACATGTTCTGCTACACATGTTCTGCTATACTTGTCTCAATTCACAGTCAATGTGTATATTTCTAAATAAAATATATATTACAAGAAATGCCACCAATTTCTCACTGTGCTCTCCCCTAAGGAAACCAAGCCCCAGTTATTCTGCCTCTGGAACTTCTTATTGCTCAGGAAAACAGGGAGGACATAACAAGATTGCACTCTATTAACTGCTGTTGATTAATTCCCTCCATCCTTGGAAAGACTTTCCCTTTTCTTTCAGGATATGTGATGTCTCTACCACAAGCTAACCAATCCAAGAGTGGCTAACCAGCAGTTCATTACTGTTCCAATATTTATTTTCTGCTCGAAACTGCTGAAGAAATCCTCCTTGTATTGAGAAAAGTGTGTGAGAGAAACTCTTTAAGACTCCTTAAATAAAATTAAGGCTGCTTACATGTGAAAGCCCCACATATCCTCTGCACATGAATGTGCATATGGCGCCATGATTACATTGAGAGAAAAAGGTGTTAGCATTTTCTGGAAGAGACACAGTTGGTCACAACGTAAGTGGCTGAGCTCCACATTGCAAGTGGTTCAAAATATTGAAGGCTGTGCTGAGATCATTTAACGTGAATTTGCTGTGCTTGGCCTTATCTCCATGACAACCATTACATATGCTTTGGCTCATAATCATTGATTAAGATGAAGTGGGCAGGTGCTCACGTCCGGCTTGACTCGAAAACTGGGCTGGAAAGGGTCAGGCGTGAACTGATCTTTCATTCTTTACAGGATAGTCACTCACTTTGAAAACTGCAGCTTTTTTTTTAAAAAAAAAACTTACATGATTAGAATTGAAATTTGAAATGGAGACATCCTAGATTCAGTCTTGTACTCTTTGCTTTGCAGATAATAAAACTGTGTACTCAAATGTGCTCATCCTGACAGGGGAAATTAAACTCCAGCCATCTGGAGGACAATGTGGAATATAAAACTCTCAGCATGAGGCCAAAGAAACCTCATAAACTGATAGATTATATTGGGGATGATTTCCTATTGCTGTGTAATATCTGCTGTTTTATTTTAAGGCTTGTAGAAAGCAAAATGGCACTTTTACCTTCCTTAATAATAAAGGGTGGAGGTCTACAATAAAATGAGAAACTTGGCCTGAACAGCTGTTGAAATTATTTGGGAGGTACCTATGGCCAACTGAGGAGTGATGGTAATTTCTGAAACGCAAAGTGAGAAATCAGCTGTGTGTTGATACCTCTTCTCTGTGTGTAATAAAAAGAAAGCTTATTTGTTGTTTACACTTCATCTCTCTGGCTGTGACTCTTCTGGGGGAATGCCTGTACTGGTCTCTGAAGTGGATGACAAATATAATTGAGAAGAAAAGTGACAAAACCATGAGCAGCACAGAAGAGGATCCAACACCCAAGGCAGCTTGCAGATGGAGCTTACAAGGGCCTTTTGGGTCTCGCCAAAACCGCTCACAGGAATACTGTGAAACTCTCAAGCTGAGCGATGAGACACCTTGTACTCAGTACATTATTAGACATTTCATCACAGGAATGAACTTCCTGCGAAAAATATAGCTTTGACTGGAGAAAGCATTTGAGTGAATAATACTTTCTCCATAGCTATTAATTTAGAAGTTGTATATTCAGAAGATCATGCAATTTTTAGAGGAGACTTCATGATGTCTCATCCCCTCTTCCCATCCCCTTTTCTCCTGATATGATAAGGAGAAAGTAAGGCATGTTTCATCTCTTGCTGCATGTGATGGCAGCAGACATGCCACAACATATCTCCTTGCCTCAGACATAAGTCTGAAGCTGCTTTTGCTGAATTTCTACCCAGTAACTTATACCTGCATTTCTTAAGGATCAAGATAGCCTGACTACGCTATTATAGGCAGAAAGGTATATGCAAGCAACTGCTGCATTTTTTGGGGTGTAGGGGCATTATGTGACCAAGGCTCGTTAGTATATTGCAAGGTGAATTACAGGACCTTGACAAAAGATGGTCTAGTAGGCAGAGACTTAACGTCCTTAACTGACTTTGAATTCAGTTGGATTTATTTCCATGAAGGATGTAGCAGTTAGAACTCGGAAATCTGTGTTATGTAAATAAATCTAATTCATGTATAATCGCTGATCTTCTGTGTCATCATAATACCCCTGCATTTTCAGTATTCCTTGGGTTTAAATTATCCCTGAGAGATGCTCATTCAATCTACTCCTGTAAGCTCCAGAAAAGACAGTTTGACAAATGCCCATGGGAAACATCCTTCAATGAGAAGGCATACCTAGCATTCAACCAATAGATATGCAGCTGAAAATTGCACCCAATCAAAGTCAGTAGTCCCACCTATATAAGATAGAAGGGCTTTGGCTTTTCTATGTATAGAAGAAAAAGAATCAAGATTACCTATGGGTCTTTCTATCCAGCAATCCCACACTAAAAACCACATGCCTGTATGAAGCTCTACATGAGGGACATTGCCTTTTGCCAAACCTTAGGTCCTCTACATGTGGATACATCTCTTAACGAATTTTGTGCTATTGATTCACAGATTGGTCTTAGGCTAATCATAGCATTCATTGGCTATAAAATGAGATCAATATCCACGAAGATATAAATACAACATTGTGTTTATTATCTGTGTATTATATGCATCTGTCTTGCCATGTAATGTGTGGCTTGCCTCACTGCTTTTCTTATCTGAAAACATCTATTAGCATGGACTTTTAGTTCATGCTTTTTACTTGTGGCAATTATTGCAGTCCCATGACTAGTGAACAAATTCAGGCAGACAATGATCTGGGTTAGAAAAAATGGCCACCACCTTATCGATTCCAGATCTAGGTGGATTTTGAAATCAGGCATTGGGTGCATATCAGTTCCAACCTCCGGGTTGGAATTTTTACGGTTGTGCTAAGAATTATGGTCTCCACAAGATGTCAGTCTACCATAAAGGCCATCCTCAGGCCACTCCTGGAAACTCTACAGCCTATCAACCCCGCACTTGGCTTCTGGGCAGAAACTTCCACTGAGATCCCTCTAACAAGGTACACTGAATCCACTGCTGACTAGGATTCCACCCATTGCCTTAATTGCCAAGAGCTGTGACAGTTTGCTATGGGGAAACTGGGTGTTTGCAAATGGGGCCAATCTGTTTGCAAGTAAATTCCTTCGCAGCCCTAAATTGGTAACCATAGCCCCACCAACACATCTGCCAGTTTTCTCTATTTTCATTGATGAAATGCTGGTGGTTACATACAAGGTAAAAAAAAAAAGGTAAAGGACCCCTGGATGGTTAAGTCCAGCCAAAGGCAACCATGGGATGCGGTGCTCATCTCACTTTTAGACCGAGGGAGCCGGCGCTTGTCCACAGACAGCTTTCTGGGTCATGTGGTCAGCATGTCTAAACTGCTTCTGGCACAACAGAGCACTATGATGGAAGCCAGAGAGCACGGAAATGCAGTTTACCTTCCCACCGCAGTGGTACCTATTTATCCACTTGCACTGGTGTGCTTTCGAATTGCTAGGTTGGCAGGACCTGGGACCGAGCAACAGGAGCTCACCCCATTGCGGGGATTTGAACCACCAAACTTCCAATCAGCAAGCACAAGAGGCTCAGTGGTTTAGACCACTGCGCCACCCGCGTCCATACAAGAAAACATGAATCAGGCTGCATGGGCATGAAATCTAGCCTGTATTATATATCTAACAGACAAGGGGAAACAAACTGCTATTGGTCAAATGTGCTGCAAGAGCCTTTAAACCACTTACTCTGTTGTAACTATAGTAACAATGAGGCCATTTAGAAATCAAAGAAGCAGAACAATATTTGCAGTGTTGCTAACTTGTACGTTTATTTCAAACCTCAATCATCTAGGCACTTTTCACAGTCTAAAAATGGTAATGCTTACAACAAAATTAGAAACAGAGGGAGCTGGTTTATATCGAGGGAAACCATTGGTCCATCTAGGACAAGGCAGAAATCTTTCACAGACTTACCTGGAGACACCTGGGATTGAAACCTTCCACTGATAGAACATGCTCTGTGGCCCTTCTCTAAAGTGGAATATATTATATTCAAAACAGGAATGGGGAGTAAATTGAAGTTAAAGCAACTGGGAAACATAATTTCAAGAATTCCCTCATGGTTTTGAAAAATAACATTTTTAAAATATGTATACATATCCATTATTCTGAAAGACAGGTGAGGGATGATCAAAACTCTCTGCACATTCTGGGGCTGGTAATCTAGCATTTAATCCTGGGAATGTCAGAAGAGGATGTCAATGTTCTTTTTATACCTGACATTTGGAATGGGCCCCTGGCCTGAAGAGCTCTCTGCTCTGTAACAAGCCCACAGCCTTTTCTGCTACATCAAAGCCCTTTATGAGATCAGGGAATCTGTGAGTGGAAAACGCTTAGAAACAAGCATCACAATAACTGGATAAAGTGCTCTGCAAGATAGATAGCTTGTAAGGAGAGCTATTATTATTTCATTTGTCTTGTCGTTTGATGGGCCAAAGCACTCCAGTGTTCCTATGACGCTCGGCACTATTTGGCAAACTGCATAGGTGGCTGCGGGGGAGGGGGCAAAGTGGTGCCCCGATTAGAGTGTTTGGCCAATAGTGGGGAGACCCAGCTTCAAATCCCCACTCATTTATTTATTTTAGTATTTATATGCCACGTAAAAGTATCAAGGCCATGAATTTCAATTTCAACCTAGGGTCAAGCACTTGCTCTCAGCCTAACCTCTCTAAAAGGGTTGCTGTGAGGATCAGTGGGGAGGGAGACAACCACGTATGACTTTAAAAATAATTCAGTTATGTTCAGCAAGAGGAAGAGTAAGCAAGTAGTAGGTCCCTTGTGTGGAGAAGATGGAGAAATGCTTTTGTGTGACAAAGAGAAGATGGAACTGTTCAGCGCCTATTTGGCCTTCATCTTCACCCGAAAGGAAAGCAGTGCCCATAGCTTGGTAAAGAGGAGACGGAAAGGGGTAATATGATAAGCATCTTCAAATATCCAAAGGATTGTCACATGGAGGATGGAGCAATCTTGTTTTCTCCTGCTCCAGGGGCTAGAATCTGAAGCAATGGATTCAAGTTACAAGAAATGAGTTTCTGACTTGACACCAGGAAGAACTTTCTGACAGTAAGAACTGTTCAGCAGTAGAATGGACTCCCTTGGGAAGTGGTGGGCTCTCCTTCCTTAGACATTTTAAAAAAGAGGTTGGATGGCAACCTGCCATGTATGATCTAGTTAAGGTTCCTGCATTGCAAGGGGTTGGACTAGATGACCGCTGGGTTCCTTCCAACTCTACAGTTCTATGATTCTAAGAAGGAAACAAAGATTTATGACACTCCACACTTTTTGGAATGTAGGTTTCTTCTTCAAGAGCAACCTTTTTTACTTTTGAAAAATAAGCACATGCTCCAAATTGCCTTAACAACAGGATACACCCCTTAATGTAAAAAGAAATAAGCGGATGTCAATGAAAAGCTGTTGCCATAGTAACGAGTTGCACAGTCTAAGGGCAACAGTCAGGTTTAATCTATCAAAACGCTTCCTGTCAGAAACATAAGAAAATCCATATAATATCCGTGAGAGAGGGGAAGGGGGGTTAATTATTATTTTTCCTAAGATGCACTACACACCTAATTCAGCTCCATTCTCCATTCTAGGCATCTGATAATATGGGTTCTAGTCCACAATAGCTCTTACCATGATAACATTTATTATTCTTTCTGTTTCATGGTTGTTTTTGCTGCAACAGACTAACAAGTCTACCCCTCTGGAAATGGTTGCAGCCTTAACATTAAAAAAAATCTGTTTGGAACATTGTTCATAGGGGAAGTTCTACAATGATTTATAGGAAAATGGCTGTCTACTCCTCAGAAGGTGAAAACAGGAAAGACCATTTTTTGTGGTTAAAAAAGTCAGAGTTCATTTGGAAAGAAAAGGGTTAAAATCCCCACCTTTCACCTAGTTGGACCATTGGCCCACCCATGTCAATACAGTCCACACCAGGAACAGCCAACACGGAACCTACAATATGTTATTGGAATCCCAACTCACATCAGTCCCAACCAGCATGTCCAATGGTCAGGGATGACAGGAGTTGTAGTTCAACAACATCTGGAGGGCACCACACTGACCATCCCTATTCTGTACCAAGGATAGCTCATGAAACACTGGCTTCCTCCCTTAGATCCTTAGACAAGTTCTTCCATACACAGTGATTTTAACTGAATGGCTCATGCAATTCATCAGTGGTGGGGAAACATTCCTAAAGACATGGGCAGCAATCAGAGGCTATGGAAAGTGTAGTCTCACAACATCTGAAAGGACACAGGCCCCTAACCACTATCATACATATGATAAGTACTACAATGAGGGAGGAAACTGGAGCTCATCCAAAGTGTCATGTCATTAGGAAAGCTTATTAAAACATATTCAGATGTTTCAAGTCTCATGTGGGACTCCATTTATTAGTCTATTATGTTCTTTATACAATATGCCTAAGAAGTGATATTTTACTATCTAGATATTAATTTGACATCTAACAGTTATATATGAAACACATTATAATTGTTAATAGGTTATCATTATAATTGTTAATTGGTTATCATCAGCAGTTAAGACAGAGAACTGAGCTGGCCAATACTCCATAGAGTCTGACATGCAACATTTAACACCAGCCCCGTCTCAGTGTGCATTCAAGGCCTGCATATTTTTTTTACCCTTTGCTTCCTGCAATGTCTCCCCTGAGGACTAATTAAATACAGAATTCACAAGTGTGTTATCTAAAGGAATGGTGTTTCCGTATATTTTACAATCCCCAAGTTGCAGGGTGGTTGCAATTTCAAATCAACACAGTCTGTAATAATGGGCAGCTGATATGAAACAGGACATTGCAATAGTATGTAATATATGTTCATCTACGAAGGCTCCCCTATAACCTTGTCTCTGTGTTTATAAACACAAGAGAAAATAAAAATAAAAATATCCACTTAAAGAAATAGTTTAGGATGTTTAATTCTTCTTCTTCTTACTATTATAGCAATACGGGCAACCTTCCTGTTGGCTCAGGGACTGTGCTCCAGGTCATTGTGCACTTGTGTGAAATTGCATGTAATCAAACACCTATTGTAAAAGCCAGCAAACACCCCATTCCACCCCTGCCCTGCCCCTGCTCCATCCCCGTTCTGCCCTTCTAGTGATGTTTCAGTGACATCTTTATGATGTTTCCGGGTCACTTCTGGGTTTAGCACTGTATCAGATGTGTCTAAACCAGGAGTTACTTGCAATCATCATCATCATCCCCCCCTTTCCTCCTAAAGAAGCCCAAAGTTGTCAGTTTAGTACAGGCATAGGCAAATTTGGCCCTGCAGATGTTTTGGGACTACAGTTCCCATCATCCCTGACCACTGGTCCTTTTAGCTAGGGATAATGGGAGTTGTGGTCCCAAAACATCTGCAGGGCCGAGTTTGCCTATGCCTGGTTTAGTACACTGTTGTTTTTAATGAAAATATATATTTAAGTTGATATCCTAATGGAAACCCTTTTTAGTTTCTTTTCCTATGATACAGAAAAGGTGTTTGTCCCAACAGATGGATTTGGGTGAAATTATGCCTTGACTGCAGATAGAACAAGAAATCCTTTAGAAACATAAGATGCACACACATCACATGACAGCACACGCACAAACATGTTCATAGTTTGTGTTTAAACATTAAATACAATTTCAATTCACCATCTGTCTTTGATGCAGCTTGCTTATTAAAATACTTAAATAAACTGCATTCAAGGTCTTGTAAACATTCCTTGACCTAGATTTGCGAAGCTTTCTGAAATTTTGTTTCTCTGGATACTTTGGCACATCTGCTTTGGGAGGAAAGTGGGATCTACAGTTGTACCTTGGAAGTTGAACGGAATCCATTCCAGAAGTCCGTTTGACTTCTGAAATGTTTGGCAACCAAAGTGCGGCTTCTAATTGGCTGCAGGAAGCTCCTGCAGCCAATCAGAAGCTGTGGAAGCCCTGTCGGACATTCAGGTTCAAAGAACGTTCGCAAACCGGAACAATCACTTCCAAGTTTGTGGCATTTGGGAGCCACAACGCCAGAATACCAAGGTGTTTGGGATCCAAGGTATGACTGTACTTTGGGGGGGCGGGAGGGGAGAGTGGGTTTCTGCCTGGAAACTTTATTTGCTGTGAAACATGTAATAGTTCATTTCAGGCATCACTCAGTTTCAGTATACCTTGTCTCAGTATTTCTTGCTCATACCTAACTTCTCTGCAGTTCAGGGTTGGCTCTGGGTTTGAGGGGTACCTTGGCAAAGGCAGAGATGGATTTAGGACAGTGTGACTGGTTCTCCTGAACTGGGCACCGAGCCGGGGGGGGGGGTTGCCACAGGTCATTGCAACAACGACATAGTGAATTGGAAGGTGAGAAGTGGGGGTGCCAAATTTTGGCTTCACACAGGGTGCCACCGAAGTCCCCCCCTGGCAAAGGGAGCCTTCCCCTAATCAGTGGATCTCCCCCTGTGGAGTGGCATGAGCCATGGTGAGGTTACCTTGGAGGCATGAGAGGACAGGAACAGTTCTTTGATCTGTTTCCAAGCTAGTGCCAGTCCAGGACATTGTGAGAAAGGGATATGAAGACTCCCTGATTTAGCCAGCTTGCACTGGTTGGTGGGGTGGGGGGACAGGTGTCAGTGGTGGGGCCACCTGGATACTGGAACCCCAGCAGCCACTGGAAGAGTGAGAACATGGTAACGGTGGACCATATTCATTGTTAAAGTCCTACCCATGCTTGCTTGCTTGTTTGTGAATGGGGTTGGCACATGAAAAGAATGTGTCTTGTATAGTCACAATCTGGCACTTGGTCAAATAATACAGAAGCTTTTATTTTAAATACTTTTATAGTCATACAAGCAGGAAGAAATAGATAGTTCAGTTCAGCAACTTATGATTGTATAAATAAATCCTAGACAGGAAAAAAAACAACCCACCATAATATTTTCAGCATGAACCAATGTTCAGGAAAACAACCCATTAGGATTTCGTCTACATTTTCCGCCCTGTAGGGATAACTAAAAAGGACACCAAGATGCAATGCCAGCTCAGTTCTAAAGAATTGTTGCAAAATGCAAAATAGCCTAAGCACCTAATATGTCAGAAGAAATCCATTTTCATTGCCGGCACATCAGTGTTTCTAACAGAGACTTCATTTTGATGGGCATTTCAGATTTTGACTGGCAACGTTGAAAGCAGCATTAGAAATATATATATATAAAATGAAAGCAGATGTTCAGATGCCTTTTGAGGTTTCAGAATTTGTTTTTCTATGTGTGCATTTTCATGCCCTGCAAAATGTTTGTGTAGCTAATGAGCAAATAGCATTTCCACCAGAAACGTGTGCGTGTAGAGCTTCCAGGCAAATTTTTACACTATGAAATATCAACTAGGTTAAGTCAGGGGAAGCTGCCTGGAGTTGTGCTCTGCAGATTGCACCTTAATCTTGTTAGCCTAGGTGTGTGATGAGAGAAGAATGAGGAAAGGTTTTATTTTTTAACAAATATTTATTTTCCTTTGTAGTATTCTAAGTGCTCTCAATCTTTCTGCATGAACCACGGTTACATGCAATTTCCCCATCCTTTGGCCTTCATTGCATCACAGGTTTCCCCACTAACCACTGGAGGCTGGTGCCTCAGGGTGAAATGGGCTCTGCCCCACCAACCTCAGCCTGCCCTCAGCCAGCCTCCACCCACCAGCCTTCTTGTAACCAATCAGGGAGTTGGACCGTGATGAGGAGGGCTGCACTGAGGAGGAATGGTGGGAGCCTCCCCCTCCCCCTGCTCCTGAATCTTCCCAGGAGCAGGAGGACAGTATAGATTTGGAACAGCGGTTTGCAGAGGGATGTAGTTCAGAAGGCAGAAGCTGGGAAATACTGGAAGGGGAACAGCTAGGAGAAGAAACACTGGAAGAGAGAGGGTTAACAGATTCACAGTCCCTGGACAGCATTCCTCTGCTCAGCCCAAGATGAAGAAGAGCTCAGAAAGTGTCAGAACAGAAAGCGCAGAGGATACAAGCTCATGTTACAAGACGTAGGAGTGGCGTAGATTAATAGGGATGGAAGGGCGTGTGATCCTTAATTGGGAGCACCACCATTCTGATTAGATGCTTTCTTTTGTCCTTTGCTGTGTTTAATAAAGAAACTAACTGGTAAGAATTTCTTTCGTTTGATCTGCTCATTTACGGCCAGGGGGGAGGAAGCTGATTCCCCGAAGCCTAACACCTCACTCTTAGTCCCAAACTCTAACCACACCACCACACTGGCTGTTCCATTTCCAGTTATCACAAGCAAACATTTTCTTTTGGTGTGATCTGTCTTCATTTGGGAGGGGTTTTGCTTTTTGTCCCCTAATAATAAGATTCCTGTCAGGTTCTGTATGCAAGCATTCAGTTACGCAGTCTTCTCTGCTTTGTCTTAGCTGTAGCTTTTTATAAATGCTTCTATTTGTTTAGGTTCTCTGCACTGGCTGTCAGTTCAGCTATAGCTGAAATCATTAAATCCCCATCTAATTATAGTGTTGCCATTCAGACAGCCCATGCTCAGAGTCTGTCAATGTTTGTGTTAGAAATCCCCAGTCTTGGGGCTTTATTGCAAAATACTTTGTGAGGCATATCAGGGGAGGGGGGATGTTATGCTTTTTAGAGAGGGAAGAAAACAACACATTGTAATCATTGCAGATGTGATTTAATTCCTTACTCAGGAGGACTGTGACTGTGAAGGAGGCTATAGCTCCTCAGCTTTATCCCCACCACTACCCATTGCATACAAATATATTTCTTCAGTGCTTTCACTGTTTCTCAGCATTTAGCATGGTGGGTATACTTTAATGACATATGAGACATTTCCGCTGAGGTTCCAGGTAGTGAAATTATGGATGTAGTTTGTATGTTCATCAACAGCTAACCATTGTTATAGGATTCTAGGGGTTATTGAGAAATTTAAAAATGAACAATTCATCAAGTCCATAACCCTGAGGGTTATGAAAGAATTTTTAAAATTGCTGATCTTCCAACAAAAACATATGGTTGTTCTCCCAGCAGAATGAAGACACATGACAACCACTAAATCTCACAGAGAACCTACACAAGTAGACAAGGTTCCCAACTTCAAAAATTATGTCTCCTGCTTACAATAGGGTTAAGGATGAGAATAGTGGAGTTGATGCATTTATTCTGTTGTCCTACACTGTGTGTGGGATTGCATTGCCGGAAAAGGACTATTGCTAAAAACAAATCAGTCTGTCGTAGAGTTCTGAGTGTATTATGCCAGGCATAAATATTCAGAAATGATTTTATTTTGTAGCAAAACCTGTAATAAGAGTGGGAAATGGTGTGTGTGTGTAGATCCAAATCTAAAGATTATAATCTGAAGTTATTTTCAATAGCATCAGTAGTGATTCATAGTAGAGCTCTGATGTTGTCATTGTTTTGGTAATATAAAAGTATGCTTTATATGCATTTCTGTTGTAACATGTTTGTGTCTTCCTCATCACTGCTCTATTTAACTGGTAAAGCTTATTTTGCAATAGATAAATGAAGGTGGTCTCCTTGAGATTAACTTCTGCATCTAAAAGAAACTGATATATTGCAAGGGGCAATGCTGATGGCCATTCAGCAGTGCAAATCAAATGTTTTAAATATTTTTTATCCATTATGTGCAGGAACACTTTAAGGAAAATGAAATGAAATGAGTGGGTGGGTGGGGGATTGTTGTGTCTATGAGTAGAGCAGTGACTGATAATTTACATAACTTCATGTTTGTATATCTGGGTAATTTAGTGAGAATGTAACATAACTCATTGTCTTAAACTGAAATTGGATTGAGAAATGATTTATTATTTCAAAATGAAACTCCAGCTACGAAGCTAATTACATATGTCAGAATCAAATACCTGCCCTTCACTCAATTTATCTTCTGTGTAGGGATAGGCAAATTTATCCATTTTGGTTCCTCATTTTTCCCAATCTTAAATTCAGTTTGTCCCATTTCCACATCAGCTTGCAAACTCGTTTTAAGTCATTGTGAAAATATGTACACAGATTAATGCAGTTCTAATATATGTATTTTCGCAAGCAATTTCCCCTAAATTACAGCATTTTTCTCTAAAGTACCGTATTTTTCGCTCTATAACATGCACCCGACCATAACACGCACATAGTTTTTAGAGGAGGAAAATCCGTAGGCATGCCACCCGTAGGCATTCCCTCCATAACACGCACAGACATTTTCCCTTACTTTCTAGGAGGAAAAAAGTGAGTGTTATGGTGCAAAAAATACGGTATACATTTTTGTGCATGCTTTCCCCTCATATGTGCATTTTTGTACCCCTTTCTTTGGTTAGAGATGCCACTATGCTGATTTTAGTAAAGCTCCATGACCTAGCATGAATTTGAACTCTGGTCTACCGCTGGTAGGAAGACAT